GGGGGGCACCGCGGGACCCTTCCCACTGCAGAGTGGGACCCCCCGCCCCCCATGTAACCCCCCCCATGTACCCCCCATCTCTGCTCTCTTGCAGAATGCTCCATGTGTCCTCTTTGCTGCCCGCCACGCTGCCACTGCTGCCACAGTAAGAACCAACCCACAGCTTCACCCCCTGATACCCCCCCAAGCGCCCCCCCAGCACCCCAGGGCTCCCGGGGCTCTTTCCTTCCCCCCCCCCCCCCTCAGAACCTGAAGGACGTCCTGGCCTCCATGATCCCCAAGGAGCAGGCGAAGATCAAAAGCTTCCGCCAGCAGCATGGCAGCACGGCCATCGGGCAGATCACAGTGGATATGGTGAGCGGGGGCACCGGGGGGGGCGGGGGGGGCACCGGTTTGTGCCAGCCTATAACTGAGCCCTGTGCTTCCATCTCCCCACAGGTGTACGGCGGGATGCGGGGCATGAAGGGGCTGATCTACGAGACCTCAGTGCTGGACCCCGATGAGGTGGGGCTGCCCCCCACCCCTGCCCCACTCAGGCACCCACAGGGCAGCGGTGCTGACGCCCGCTCCTGCTGGGTTTTCCCTTCCAGGGGATCCGCTTCCGTGGGTTCAGCATCCCCGAGTGCCAGAAGCTGCTGCCCAAAGCGGCGGGGGGCGAGGAGCCACTGCCTGAGGGGCTCTTCTGGCTGCTGGTGACGGGTGAGGTGCCCACCCCAGAGCAGGTAACGCGCCAGGACCCCCGGGCTGGGAGGAGGGGGGGGGGTTGTCAGCCCTCCGCTCAGTGCCCCTTCCCTGCAGGTCAGCTGGGTGTCCCGTGAATGGGCCAAGCGGGCGGCGCTGCCTTCCCATGTGGTGACCATGCTGGACAACTTCCCCACCAACCTGCACCCCATGTCCCAGCTCAGCGCCGCCATCACCGCCCTCAACAGCGAGAGCAAATTCGCGCGCGCTTACGCTGAGGGCATCAACCGTGTGAAGTACTGGGAGGTACGGGGGGGCGGGAGGCGGGGGGGCGGGCAGGACCTGGACCCCCCTCACTCCCTCTCACCCCGTCTGTAGTTTGTCTATGAGGACGCCATGGATCTCATTGCCAAACTGCCCTGCGTCGCCGCCAAGATTTACCGCAACCTCTACCGTGAGGGCAGCAGCATCGGCGCCATCGACCCCAACCTGGACTGGTCGCACAACTTCACCAACATGCTGGGTTACACCGACCCGCAGTTCATCGAGCTGATGCGCCTCTACCTCACCATCCACAGGTGTGGGGCTGCTCCGCCCCAGCTCTGCCTCGGGGTGTGGGATGCGCCCGGGCAGCGCGCGGTGTGGGGCAATGGGAGCGCCGGGACGGGTGTGGGGCTGCGGGGGCCCTGTGTGGGGTGTGGGGACCTGACGCCGCTCCTCGGCCCCGCAGTGACCACGAAGGGGGCAACGTCAGCGCCCACACCAGTCACCTGGTGGGCAGCGCGCTGTCTGACCCCTACCTCGCCTTCGCTGCTGCTATGAACGGGCTGGCCGGGCCCCTGCACGGCCTCGCCAACCAGGTGGGTGTCTGTCCGGCCTGTTTGTCTGTCCATCTGTGTGCCTCCATCTATCCCTATCCATCTGTCTGTCCGCTTGCTGCCATTCTGACCCCGCCGTGCCCGCAGGAGGTGCTGCTGTGGCTCACAGACCTGCAGAAGGAGCTGGGCCAGGACGTGTCGGATGAGAAGCTGCGGGATTTCATCTGGAACACGCTCAATTCGGGCCGGGTGAGCGCTGGGCTGCGAGGGGGCCGGGGGGGGCCGGGGGCAGCTGGGTGCTGACCGCTCTCCCAGGTGGTGCCGGGCTACGGCCACGCCGTGCTGCGGAAGACGGACCCGCGCTACACGTGCCAGAGAGAGTTTGCCCTCAAGCACCTCCCCAAGGACCCCCTGTTCAAGCTGGTGGCTCAGCTCTACAAGATCGTCCCCAACGTGCTGCTGGAGCAGGGCAAGGCCAAGAACCCGTGGCCCAACGTGGACGCACACAGCGGGGTGCTGCTGCAGGTGAGCCCCGCTGCCCCACGTGCCTTTGCTGGGGGTCCCGGCTGCCCCCCGCGCTGCCCTGACGCCGCTTTCCCCGCAGCACTACGGCATGAAGGAGATGAAATATTACACCGTGCTCTTCGGGGTGTCCCGCGCTCTGGGCGTCCTCTCGCAGCTCATCTGGAGCCGGGCGCTGGGATTCCCCCTGGAACGCCCCAAATCCATGAGCACTGCGGGGCTGATGCAGCTCGTGGGCTACAAATCCGGGTAAAAAGGGACAGGGTCAGGGCTGCGCTCGCTGCTCCCCCCGACGCCTCCGGGCCCGGGACGGACTCGGCACTGAACCCCACTCCGGCTGTGGGGGGGCGGCCCTGGGGGCCCCTCCTGCCCTGCGCCCCCTCCTCCCCATGGCACGGGGCCCGGCCCCCTCCTTTCGTGGCTCCTGCGCCCCCGGCCCGGCAGCACCACGCACACTGAGCCCCAGCTCCCCGCTGCCGGGGGGGGGGGGCCGGATTCGGGCCTCCCTTTGCAACCACTTCCCCCCCCCCTGAGGGGGGTTGGGTCCCAGACCCCCGCCCGCGCCCCCCCCCCCCCCGGGGGGGTCCAGCCCTTGGGGCAGCTGGTGAAGAATGAATGTTTCAGCCCCCCCACCTCGAAAGGCCTCGATACACTCCTCCCCAGTGTTTGTGTGATCCCCACGTCTGATGCCCCCGGAGCCAGAGCTGGGCCCCCCGCTCCCCGTTGGCCCAGCCCCGGCCCGGCGCAGGCTTTGGGCAGTTCTGTACAAACAACGATAAAATGCAAAATAAATGTTTTTATTAACAAAGCCCAAGCTGCTGCCGCCCCCCCCGCCACACTCTGGGTGCTGGACCCAGACCTGGGGCTGCCCCTGTAGGCACCCAGCTGGAGCCTGGTGGTCTTGGGGTGCAGACCCCCCCCCCTCCAGCTCCCCTTGCCCCCCTCCCTGCCCCATGGCTGCCCAGTGAGGCGCAGGAGGCCGGGCTCACCCTTGGAAATGCTCTTTATTGGCATACGCAGAAGTCCTTCCTTGGACAGCAAGGCCACGATCTCCTCCGTGTCGGGGATGGAACCGGGGGGGCTGAGTGGGGGAGCCTAGGGCCGGGGGGTGGCTCAGGGGGCCCTTTGTGGCCCCCCAGTGGGTGTCACGGCCTGCTGGAGCCCGGGTCCTCCAGGCTGAAGGTAAGGGAAGCTCAGGGGGAGCGGGGGACGCCTCGGGCCGGGGCCGTGCTGGTCCCTGGGGTGGCGAGGGGCAACGGGTCGGGGGGAGGGGGGGGCAGGGGCCGGTCAGAGCGAGGCCCCCGTCCCTGCTGTGCGTGAGACTTGTGCAAA